TTATAACAAGAGGATGAATTTTTACAATTTTACATGATTAGATATTGTATTTGTATTGTACTGTATTCTATAAATAAATTTACAATGTTTTACAATTTAAAAATTTTAAAATATACACGTTAATAATATACAATAATATATATGTTAATAAATTACTAATACTACAATTAAAGTTAACTATCGTACGATGACTAAAAAATACTATTGCTACCATTGCTATACGTGTTTTTAATATCAATATACGCGTTTTTATACATTGTATACGCATTTTTAAACTATCGTTGTTTTACTATGTGTAGCTTTACACTTAAATGGGTGTTGTTTTACACGTTTTTAAACATTTTTAAGTGGTGTTGATTGACAAAGGGTTCGTTTCCCTACGTTTTTTGGCGTTAAGCAACACATGGTGTTTTTCAACACTTTATACACCTGTTTAAAACTTGCTGATGAATGGGCTTTAGCTGGGCTTTTATTTCATTTCGCATTCTCCCCAATCTCTCCAATATCTTTGGGAAAAGACCTTTCTGATCAGGCTTATTCCCATGCCGTATAGTCCAGGCTCGTATAGGATTACCATTATACTTGAACTCGATATTGTGGAGTACTTTATTTTCTCTTTCTAACTCATCTACTTCCGAAAGTGTTGAGACCATCTTCTCGGGTGAGAGGTTGTAAGTCATAATTATGCTAGGGTATAAGGAAGCGAAGTCCAAACCTGTGACAGGACGTTTATTTTCGAGACCCTTTACTGGCGGGAAAACATATGCTCCCGGAAACTTCCAGATGCTTTCTGATCGGAAGTTTTCATGCTGAATAGTATGTCCTGGGTCCATGCTTCAGCACCCAAGAGGTTGGATACTTTTGTCCTTATGGCATAATAATGTGTATCAAATAGAGTTATATATGCTATCGAAGCAACTTCTCTATAATCATTTATTATATTATGCCTGACCGCGAGCTCCTGACAACGTAAGGCGTCTATGGTACAGTAATTAGCTATTTCGTGCATATTTTCAGTTGAAGAGTCTGAAATCCTACCCCTCGCTTCTGAATAGTACTTCCATAATTTGCTTATAGGTAAATCGGCTTTGCTGTCGAGACCACAATCTTCTAAGAAGTATTTGAGTGATCTTCTCTCTGAACGGGGGAAAAGTTGCAACAAACTCGCGCAAACGTCAATTGGTACGCATCCGGGAAGCTTAAGAAAAGATGATTCAAAGTTCAAATTATTGGTACCAAATTTGATGTTAATAGATTCACGACCTTCTGTTCTTCTGAAGTTCCTGTCCGTTTTCTTCGCCCATTGGTCCCTATGAAAGAAACCACTGCTTAATGGCTTTTCAGTTCCACTGAAATAATTCCAAATGAGGATGGATTGAATATTGGCTGTCTTATGCAGATTTGCTGACATTTGTTGGACCATCCAGTCGAGAACCTTTAATTTTGTAGCCTTCTCCACTATAAATGGCCAATCATATCCAGAATCGTTAAAGCCAAGCTGGATGTCTGGGGCAAAGATTTCCAACATAGAGCAAATGCCTTTAAGAGATTGGTCTGATTCCCGCATATGATGATCATGCAACGTGGATCTGGTGCCGTCTCAACATCAACGAGACGTATTTGTTCTAGTGGTTTTGGGTCATCTTTCCAGTGAACCATCATACAGATCATAAAAACTTGAGCTGTATCATTTTCTGCTTGTGGGAAATTACCTAACTCACGCGAATCGTATGTTTCTATGTCCCATGTTAGAACTAATGCTCGGTCACGAGAAAAGAGAGAAGATGGATAAATTTTATAAAGTGGTTCAAAATCAACTATGGGTTGGAAATTACCAATGTGAACATAAAATGCATGCGGACAATGTTGGGATTTTGCATAATAAGGTGCACTGAAATTATATTTGTAGTCGCTTATTAACCCCATCCGGAAAGTGGTATTCTATACTTTCTTGCGACTTTACGGTAATATGTGCCCGTATCATCTGAAGCGGTTTCTATTCTATTTTCTTGATCGACCTTCGAATTATAGTTTGAAATGATATTGAGAGCAGTGAACCTTATATCTTTATTAGGTGCAATGATGCGAAGATAAGACTTTTTTTCCGCATGGTAGCCACGAATAGGATATGCCTTTATGCACTCCCTTCAGATCAGATTCATGTTTACTCTATTCCCCTGGCTGTCTTTTTTAGTAGCGAGTAAGTGCTTTATTTTGGACCAGAATTTAGGAATACTTGCATTTTCAGGAACGCGAATATCAAAAAATATCTTGATACTAGTAATGGTGACGACTGCCTTCTGGCCATTAACGAGATGTCCATAGATTCGAAGAACATAATGGGGGATTTTATTAACATTCTCTTTGGCTTCTTCTATGTCGTATGACACGAATGGAATATCTCGACGATTCGCTATCTCAACTTTGAGAGTTAAAGTTGACCCCTCATCATTTCTCATAGCTAATTTATTACGGGTTGAGAAACCCGCCAAGTAATTCTCACCGCCATATCTGATTACCTGACCCAATGATGTTTTTTCTTTTTCAGCCTCTAGGTGAAAAAGGGTGGGGGTGTTAGAGGAGAGGAACTCTGAAAGCTCGAAATGTTCGGCCATTTTTTTCGAAAGATTTATAGTTATACCAAATCTCAAGGTATATTATTCGCAAGAAAAAAGTTTAAAATGAAAATAATTCCCCAACATTATTAATTGATATATACAAATGGGAGGCTGAAAAAAGCTGACACCTTGGAATTTTTATTATTTTCCATATATTCTTAGGACTGGAGAAGTGTGCAATTGGAGATGCTATGATCCAAAGGGATGTAAAGTCCATCTTAATTCTAGGCAAGTTCTTTGCAAAGAACCCTGGTGTAAAGAGAATACAAGATCCAAATATGACTATTGCGATACGCATGCAAAAAAACATAGATCAAGTGAACATTATCATCAGAAAAAGCAGGCTAAGTTGGCTTCGACAGAGATACTGGTAGGTAATTTAGATATAAACAAAAATAATACGACTTGTCACTAGTGATACGATCTCTTTGGGATTCACTAGAAAAATCCGTCCAAGTTTACTGGGACGAGTTAGGACGGAAACCAGGACGGAAAATTATAGCTAAATGGCATTGTCGAATCGAACTAAAGGGAATTTGAATACCCGTCCTAGTTGTCATAGTTGTTCTAGAAAAAACGCAAGATCCCAGACTTTTTTATTTTTTTACATATAGGTATATATAGCATACATATATAACATACATACATAGCATGCATACATAACATACATACATAGCATGCATAAGATATAAAAAATCGGTTTTTCCTAGAACTTTACTTTTTACTAGGACAACTATGACAACTAGGACATAGTATATAAGAACAAGTTAGATCAAAGAAATAAGCTTTTCTCCTATATCAAAACCCTTCCTAGTTCCCGTCCTAGTTGACCCAATAACTTAGACAACTAGGACAGAATTTTTAGAACGAAATCCATCTCAAAAATATGTTTACATATTGCACCTCCAATTCTTTACTAACCAACCATCCGCCAGACTGGAGCTAGGAAGATTTCAGAAATATATGGATACAAAAATATGTGATACAAATGCATATATATTGGATTCCAGAAATGTTCCAGAAATGTTCCCGTTACTAGCCCGTAACTATGAATGGCTGTTCTGGTG